TAAATCAAAAATAACGCTAACTTTTTTTACTTTCCCCTATCTTATCGCCCAAAGTAGCCCAAGTATCTATTCAACCACCCAGCAGAGTACGTCCCAGGGTACCGGATGCCCTGTCTCGGGTTACCCGAAACTTGATATCTGAAACGACTTTTTTGAGCCGAAACCCGACCCAAAACCTGACATTTTTCATGGAATTTTATTTCATAAAAGGGAGAAATCTAGCCTATTGGCCTTCCAAATGTGTTTACAACTTAAAACAAATGCTGCGGAATTTGGGCATGATATCTAGAGATCAAAAGAGTTTAAGGAGGTAGCAGCGGACCAAAAATTAAGAGAAATTTTAGAAAAATAAAAAAAGGAGAAGACAAACTAAACTATTAAATAAATAATTTTTATAATTTAGTTTTATATACTTGATACAGAAGGGAATACAACTGTTATTTTACCTAATGGAATCTTGCTTGATTTTATGAAAGAAAATTTTAATCCATTTATATGTAATGTTGCTTATCTATTTTGGGTATTAATTCTAAGCGTAAATTTATATGGATTGTGTGTTCAATTTATTTATAGATATTTAGTTTTGAATAGGTAAATAAATAAAAAAATAATTAAAAACTTTAGTATAGTTATACCGCTCATCCTTTCGGTCTGGCGCACCTTCAGAGCGCCGTTTGGGGGTTTAGGGATTGAGTGGGGAGTGCTGGGTATGGCTCCGGGAGCTAGCTCCGGAGCCCGGCTCCGGAGCCGGCTCCGGCGGAGCCGGAGCCGGAGCTAAGATTTTGAAAACCCCGGAGCCGGAGCTGGAGCCGGAGCCAAGAATTTCAAACCCCGGAGCCCGGAGCCGGAGCCGGAGCCAAGGTTTTCCAATTCCCCACGGCTCCGGCTATACACCCCTAAAGATGGGTTAGAGAAAAAGAAGTAAGCAAAGATGGTAGGCGAGAAAAGAAAAGGAAGAGAAAATTGAGACGGGTAAAAAAGATTTTCTTTCCTTTACTTTGTAAAGTAGTTGTGGTTGAATGGATAGTGAGTTAGGTTCCGAATTTTATCCGGTTATAGGTTCGAAAAATATTACAAAAAATGATTAAATAATTGTTTTGCTTTGAAAAATAGATTATAGTAAGCATTTTTTAAATAAATAAAGCTGGATAAATTTTTTAAATTGATTAATTTTAGTCTCCTGTGAGTCAAATTTTTAGAAATTTTTGCCTGCGGCGCAAAAAAGGAAGATTTTTGGCTTAAGGATCTTGCAAAATTCTCAAAATTTCCGCCTGCGGCGCAAAAACCAACTGATAATGAGAGGATAAATCCAACATATCCTACATACTCCTATAATGAGAGGATAAATCCAACATATCCAACATACTCTTCTTAATCCTCTGATATCACTCGATATCCCCCTTTATCTACCTAAATCCCCCAATGAAAAATAATTAATCGATTTTCCAGCCGGAGCCCGGAGCCAACATGGAGCGGCTCCGAAAATCGCCGGCTCCGGAGCCGGAGCTGGAGCCGGAGCCAAGATTTTAAAAGGTCGGAGCCCGGAGCCGGAGCCGGAGCCAAGATTTTGAAACCCCGGAGCTCGGAGCCGGAGCCGGAGCCAAGATTTTGAAACCCCGGAGCCCGGAGCCGGAGCCGGAGCCAACAAATGGCAAATACCCAGCACTGTAGGTAAATAAATAAAAAATAATTAAAAACTTTAGTATAATGTTTGAGATTACCAACAGGGAGCACTTTGCGTTATTTGTGTTAAATTTTCGCCTTATTTTGACAAACTTAACGCAAAAATATATCAAATTTGCTGGCAAAAATGGAAGGAATCTGACCTTTTGGGATTACAAAATTCTCACATTTGGCACCTAAAGGGAAGATGGATCCACTTAATCGCTCTGATCCTCTTAATTCTAACAATTCCTCGATAGCTAATTCTTGGCATCCCTGATAACACCCTCCTTGTCCATGTGTCTAAACTTTTGCTAAACCCTTACTATTGTTTTAGAAATATGAAGATTAGCTTTTGTCGTTATCTATTTATGTTGTCCATTGCTTTGTTTGTGGAATTACTGTATAGTTTGGATGTAATTTTCTTTTTACTTCCATATTCTAATGGAAGTATTAAATATTTTGATAATCTCAACAAAACATTGCCATTTATTCAATTTAAAATGGAAACGGTTAATTTTAAAATAAATTTATTTTTTGAATTTTAAAAAAGATGAATGCTTTGTCACTATTACTACCAGCTTTAATTGAAATATCTGCATATTTAATAATATTTATTTGTGGATTCAAAATGGTTAGATATGTCAAATTAAACACTAATTTTGATGGAAATTTAAAAAGATTGAATAAACTTTTAACTAAAGTTTTGATTATTTTGGTAAGATAAAATCTTTTTATTTTATTATTATGTACAGGGTGACCAAAAAGTCATGGGGCACGTTATTTTTGCCATAACTTTATTCAAATTTAAGATAATGAGATAAAATAAAGCAGAAATTATAGAGAACTAAATGGAGAATAAGATATAAAAATCTTTTAGAATTTTCCTTATTATACTTTGAGATATGGTTAAAAGAAAGTGCGAAAAATTATTGCTCCAGGTCGCACCTTTTTTTGAGACATTTTGCCTATAACATTAGAACGGATTGCAGGAATTACACAAAAATTTTTCGGCATCTAGAGCAGTCTTTTATCTATAGAAATTATAAAGCAAAAAAATTTTTTTGATTAACGCTTAAAGAGATATTCGATTGCGCGTAACCCTCCCAAAATGAGAAAATCGTATTCCCCCCAAAACTGATTTACATATACTCAGAGCCATCCATGTAGGAGTTTGAGTTTTTATCTTTCAGATTTGTCCGGTTCGCTAATGATCTTAATTAGATTCTGTTGAGATCATCCCGTTTGGACTTCTCCTTTCTGAGATATAGAGATCAAAATTTTGGGGGGAAAATTTTGATATGGTGTACCTAAAATTACATAACTTTTTTAATCCTTAATCAAAAAATATTTAATTTTACTATATGATAGAGAAATAAATGAGCTACAAAATAAACTTGGAATTATCTAAAAATGTTATGAACAAAAAAAGTTATAAAGGATAGAAAAGTGCCCCATGACTTTTTGGTCACCCTGTATTTATTTTCTCATCTGTGGACTTTTCCTTGTTATTTACAAAAATGAATAAGTTAACTTTTAGATTAACCCATAGTCTCCTACACCATTAAGACCCATCAAAGCTTTAGACAGCATCGGTTAGCAGACTAATTAATCCCTATATTTACTCCTAATATCTTTCAGATTGACAGACCAAAAAATTAAAACCAAATACCTAATGTCACCAACATTTTGATAGGGCCTGTTTAGTTGACTAAATATGTAGGGACTATTAAATAACCCATCTGCCCTTTTTATTTAATATTAAAAATTTTTTTATTTTAAACAGGCTGTTGTACCGTTTATTTACCAAGCTGGAGTTTTATTTTTTGTAATTTCTTCAAAAACAAACAATAATATAACAAATATTATTCGAATATTAATTTGCATTTCCTTTCATTTAATACCTTTATTTAACCCAATTATTTGTATTTTAACAAACACCCCATATCGAAATGCTATTTTTAATCGTTCACAAATACATCCACAATAACTAAATAAAAATATTCTTTTATTATTTTAATAAAAATCTACGTATTCATTATCAGTTCTGGGTATTGAGCATTTGTTGACAATGATGTAGGGGATCATCATCCAAATCCCATTTTTCTTAATCCGCTTGTATCCCTCTTAATCCGAAGAAATTCCATGATACGCCCATGATCAATCCGGGCTCCGGGTGGAAAATCAAGGGATAATATTATTTCGGGGGATTTGTGTAGATTATGCGGATATCGAGTGACAACAGAGGAATTAAATGGATATCAAGGGATTAAGCGGGATTTGGGCTGATTATCGTGGGATTTGGGTGTATTACGAGCAAAATCTGGGAAATTCGGGAGATTAATTGTGATATCGTCGGATTAGTTATATTGCCGAAAAGTGATCACGAAAGGTGATCACATTGTCGAAAGGTGATCACTTCCCTTTTCGCTCCGCTGGTTTAAATTTTGAGAATTTCTGAAGGCCAAATAGGAACACCCAAGATTCGGAAGGCGAAATCCCTCGCTATATCCTTTCCCTTGAAATATTTGGATGTCACTAAAATCCAGTAATCTCATTCAAATCCTCCGATATACACACCAAACTTCAATTGGACTAATAGTTTCCGATTTTAAATTGCGGCTGAAGCAAGGAAATAAATTATTAAAATTTAAAAATTTTTACTTAAGAAAAATGAAAATTATTTAAGTTACCTGATATCACAAAGAAATTTTTGTTAATATTTTTTTATTAATTACAAACTAGATAAATATTATTTATTTTTATTTCTGCATTTATTTTATCAATTTTCTCTTTACTATAAAAATGATAATAAATTATTATCAAATAATTATTGTAGTTTATAATTATTTTTCGACATAAATAATTTATTAATTGTAAAGGGTGACCCAAAAGTAATGGGACTTTTGCCTGAAATTATAATAGGAAATTCTTAATTATTTTTGTTCCTTGTTTAATTCTACATATAAGCTTTATTTCGAGTATGTTTTTCTTGATATATTTTTTTCAAACGTTGGCATAGGTCTATTGCAGAATAAGGTTGGCGGATTCGGATATCCTGATCCGAAAAGAGGCCGGATATCCGGAAATTTTTGGTTCGGATCCGGATATCCGAAGATTTCCAACTATCCGTCACCCTTATTGCAGAAACGGTGACTCACGGCATAGATCACCCAGAAAAAATACCAAAAAAACACAAACAACGCAAAAATATCTTTTATGAAGTGCTCTATTATAAACTACAAAATACTTTTTTGATAATTTATTAAAAGTATAAGTATTTAAATAGAAAAACAAATAATAACCTTTAATTAAATTTTATTTTTAATAAGAAAAAAATGTTTTTATTAATATTATTAATAATAACAATATCTTCTCTATTATTATTTTGGACTGCAATAAGGAAAAATAATTATTGGAAAAATAGAGGAATTCGAGGACCGAAACCTTTACTAATAAAAGGAAATATAGATTTAATTTTTGGATATAATAATCCTTTATCTTTACAATTATTTGATTGGAGTAAAAAATATGGAAGGATTTATGGAATTAAAAATGGATGGTTTAATACGTTGGTTATTAGTGAACCAGAAATGGTTAAAGAATTGCTTGTTGATAAATTCGAATATTTTCATGCAAGAGCTGTAAGTTTAAAATTTTAGGAATTGAAAAAATTATATTTTTGTGATTATTCCTCGCATTGTAAAGCATATAGCTATTTAATTCCTAAGGCTATGCAGTAGGCGGCGTGGTGTAATGGATGACACATCAGGGTCTACTGAAGATGCTGGTTCGCTCCCAGCCGCCGTTTAAACTTTTGCACTAGCTAAAGGAGAGAAATAGCTATAGCCCGGCTGCTTTACTCCATTTTATCTATGAAATGTAGCTGATTATTATACTTATGATATGGAAAAACCCATTGGATGGGAGCCAAAAAATCCATTTCCGAACACTAGTATAGAACAGATCCTCTTCAAGACAATTTTTACGAGGCATTATTTTAGAGGAAATAGGTTGATTTTAAAATTCTTTATTAAAATTTTGATTTTTTATTTCGTAAAATAAAATGAATTTTAATTTAAAGCTTTGCCCAATTATTGGTGATGTAGACACAAATAAATTAATTCATTTATTTTTCGCTAAAGGAAAGCGATGGAAACGACTTCGTTCAATTGCTAATCCGGCATTTTCAATTTCTAATTTAAAAAGAGTAAAGAGATAATTTTTTAAATTCCAAAATAATTCTTTTTAAGGTAATGCCAATAATTGATGATTCTATTAAAATAAATATTAATTTGTTAAAAGAAGCATCAAAAGGAAAATTTGTTGATTTACATGAGTGAGTTAATTAAAGAATAACTGAGCGTATGAAGGCATTTTTGGGGCAATATGATTAGCTTGCCTATCAGTATTTGGAATCTCGTAACATAACTCTTACAAAGTCTATTATGAAAGGATCAAAATCTCTAACCCCCACCATACTTTCATTTTTCCTTTCCACCATTCAATCGGTCCATTCTTGAGTTAAGCCTTTAATTAATTAAAAAATTATTCATTTCCATTTTGTTCCCTATTCAGGAGAATGTTTCAAATTTTTAAGAACAAATCGAAAATTTTATTTTTCTTAGTTTTCCTGGGTTTCTGAGGGACCAGTGTTGGTCACGTTAAGGTATGCCGCAGTATCATACCCAAATCATGCCGATTTATCACAATCATAATAATTTTTCGGTATTGCTATTATATCGAAATAAGCTATAGTGGCTGGCAAAGAGTTTTTTTCCAAAACTCGTTATTTCCTATTTTTCCATCCTTTTTTAGATATTTTAAATGAAAAAGTATAAGTATCTCATTGTCAGTCAAAAAATATTATTTTCCAGATATTTTGTGGAACTTGCTTTCGATATAATCGTCCGTATCGCAATGGGACAAAAGGAATCAAAGCAATTTAAATCAGAATACTGTCAAATGGCTCGAGATTCTGTTATTCAAATTAGCAATAATATTTTTGATTATCTCGCCTTTATATTCCCCTGGCTTGGAGCAAATATACTCGAACCTTTTGTTAAAGCTACAGGAAAATTGAGGGGAGATCCCATATTAATTTTGATGGGAAATATTTACAAAGCTGTTAAACAAAGGAAGGAAGAGAAAATGAAGAGGAATGAAACGGGAGAAAATGAAGAAAATTTAAAAAATAAAAAATGGGTTGATTTTATTGACCTTTTTTTGGAATCTGAAGCTGAAAATAATGAAGTTGAATTGAAAATGAGTAATGGAACTTATAACAAAAAAGAAAAGGTGATTTGTTTTTAGATGGTCTATTTGTTAAAATTAATGACAAGTTTTTTCTTTGAAATTATTTTATTATGCCAACTCGACCGCTCCAAAAGTCTGAAAATTTAAACCCTTATAACTTTTTTAAATGGGGGTCAGGGCCAAAAAGCCAAAAATTTACAATAGATTATCGACCATGCTCTACACGATGATGTATGTTTCATCGCAAAATTTTGGGTGATAGTTCGAGTCCTTGAAAGCTTTATTTCATTTTACGAGCTTTTGGACTGAGTGGCATTGATTAAATTTATCTCCAAGCTAAACTATAACAACGAAACAGAGCTTAACGTGTATCCATTCTAGTCCCATAATAATTTTCCTCCCATAATAATGACCTATTTAGATAGATTTTAATTAATATTTTTCGAATTACATCAACAATATATTTTTTATTTTAACTATTATATGTATAACTAACATTAATGTTTTCATCTTCAGTTTGAGCGTTGTAATACTTTAGACGAAATTGTACTTAATTGTTCTCTCTTCCTTTTGGCTGGATTTGATACATCTGCAAATTCGCTAAGTTTAATAGCCCACAATTTGGTTATTTACCCTGAAGTTCAAAAACGTTTATTTGAAGAAATTGAGGAAATTTGTGGATTAGAAGAAGGGGAAATAATTAATTATGAACAATTGACTAAATTAAAATATGCTGATGCTGTGTTTAAAGAAACACAAAGATTGTGTCCAATCGCGACTGAGTTGGTTAATTAAACTGATAAATTTTGTAAAAATTAAATAAAAAATATTGAAAAATATGTATATCCTCAGTTCCAGGAACCGGTCCAATAAGCCTGTGTCTGTTTCCTAATGAAAAATAATTTGGTTAATAAAAATCGTTACTTTTCCGTTATACGATCGCAAATTGAGTGCCAACCGAATTTGATCGGTAACTGGACTTATCGGGTTATAATTTTTAATGACTGATTAGATTTTATCTATCCTATTAGAAAAATTATACTGGTTATCGAGTTCTTTCGATTGATATAAAATTAATTTATATCGGTCAAGCATTAAAAAGTTAAAGCCGAGTAAATTCGCTTGGCACTTAGTTTGTGGTCGTATAACGAAAAAGTACTTAAAAATCGCTACAAATTTTAAGTGTTGTCAATAGAAGATGTGAGGAGACAACAACTCTTGGAAATATAACAATCGAGAAGGGAACATTTGTTTCTGCCGATTTATTCACTTTACATCGGGATAAAAAAATTTGGGGAGAAGATGCTGAAGAATTTAAACCGGAAAGGTGGTTATTAAATGAGAATATAAATACATCCACAGAATATTATTATCCATTTGGGGGAGGGCCTAGAATTTGTATTGGAATGCGTCTGGCATTAATGGAGATTAAAATGGTTTTAGTTCATTTATTACGCTCTTTTGAATTGGAAAAATGTTCTGAGACAGTGGTGAGAAAATAAAAAATAAAAATAAATTTAAAAATATTTTAGTCAAAACCTAATTTGGCTGGACAAGCTGTATTAAATTCAGGAAAGATTTGTGTGAAACTAAATTTGAGGAAATAAATAAAATGTAAATTATGACATTAAAACACAAAACAATAATAATTCTCCTATTCAAAATATTTTTTAATTTAATTTTTTAAAATATAGATTTTTATGTGTCAATTTTATGTGTTACTAAAGTTAAAATATTTCTGGCATTTTATGTGCATAAACATTTTAGAGAATATGCTGAAAAATTTATATAAATAACTCAAAATAACTCGGCCAAGTTTAATCTCTTGATATCCCTCTTAATCTCAACTCATATTTTTGCGTCGCAGGCGCAAAGTTCGAGAGTTTTAGAATGCCTTAGGAACAAAAATTAAATTTTAGAGCAGACGTAATAATTTTTTGAAGCTTAGATGGCCTTGAAGCCAGAACTCTTCAATTTTCTGCAATTTCTGACTAAATTAAAATTTTTAAAGTTTTTTTTCAAGTTTAAAATATTACATACAAAAATAGAATTATAAATTTAAAATTCAAAAAATAAAAGTTTAAAAACAATTATTTTTGGAAGAAGAAATTGTCTAAATCCCATTTCACGATCCTGGTTTCGAACCAAGCCCTACAGAATATTAAAGTGAGTAATGTCAAAGTAAGGGAGGTTTTTTCTGCAATAATAATAATTAGTATTTTTTATTTTCGTAATAACTAAAAAACGCCGTAATTCGTAACTACGACGCAACCCTGTTGCAAGGGTTGGCGACATTGAGAAAATAATAATTATGAGTCTAAAAAACGAGAGATTCATTTAATGTTTTCATACCTGAATAAATTAAAAATGTTTTTAATTTCTAATTTTAATTTTAGAAATATTTTTTAGACAGAAATACTTAGGTCTTCTTTCCTCGCTATTTTGAGGTTTTACTCTTTTTATTCTTATTCTTAAAAACTTTTTGGCAATTTAAATTTAAATTTAAAATAAATTAATTAATTAATTTAAAAAAATCTAAATTAATCAATTATACATTGTCGATTTTTATCCATTGTTTAAATTTGCCTGCCAAAAATTTTTTTAAGAAAGGCAGACATGTGAGTGAGAAGGGAGAGGTAGCATGTGAGTGAAGAAATTTTTACAACATCCTCTGAAGGAGGTGAAAATTGGGGGAGGGAGTGAGGGAAGGAGAAGGAGGGAGGGAAGAAAGGGAGGGAGGGAAGGAAGGAGGGACATAAAGCAGAAGGAGAAGGAGAGGGAGGGAGGGAAGGTTTTTAATTCTTTAAAAATTTTTATAAATTAATTTGCCTTTCACCAAGAAATATTTTTTTATTTTTTAATTATCTCCACTTCACAGCCAAAAATTCCTTCAGAAAAATCCTCCATCTATTCAAAAATACAATAATTTTTGTAGGTTTTTAATCAAATGAAGTGTTTTGCCATAATATTTTTCCTATTTTTTATATCTTCAATTTACAAAAAGAAATTAATTATTGAAGCAAAAGGTAGCCTCCAATTAAATTTTTACGAGTCTAATAAAAATCTTTACATTTTTAATTAGACATGCAAAGTTTTTATGAACGGATGTAGTAATATAATCTGGACAAAAGCCAAAAGGATCTAGATTATGTTTTCACAACTTTTTAAGTTGGGGCTCTAATTCAATAGGTGTCTAAAAATATTTTACGCCATAATAAACTTTAAAATACAACTGACTCTCTCTATAATCTCACCGCACTTGTATTCCAACTAAGGGCGAGGGAGGGACCACCGAACCCTTAAAAGTTACCCTCATCACAACATATTTTTCTATAAAAATTAAAAATTCTACAGATAAATTAGATAGTTTGGCAGGATATTATTTAACAACATTCATAAAAGATTTGGAAAATAAAATTGAAATTAACTATAAACTCTATTACGAAAAAACAATTTTAATTTTGGAATCAAAAATAGAGGAAAATATTAAATTAATTCAAAAAAACACTTCTTCTTCTTCCAAGAAAAATAAAAAATTTAAGGGAAAGAATGTTTGTGAGTTAATTTTTTATAATGTGACAGATATCTATTTAATTAAAAAATTTTAAATGTGAATTTTTAGCAAGTTTATCGATACAAGCGTCAGACACAACTTCTGAACTTGTAGCTGCAAATGAAGAATACAGGAGATTACGCGATAAAATAAATAAAGTAAACTTTCATTTAAAAATTAACTCTGCCCTCAATCAAAATAAAAGTTAATCACTAGTTGTTCTCCTTTTGGTGATTTGGAAAGGATCATCCTGCCTTTCATTAAAACAAATACACTATATATTATTCCATTACATCTCTAAGTAGGGTTGAGGGCCCGATCCGACCCGGTCCGAAAGATCGAGTCGGGCATTGAATTTTGGCCCGAAAAAGACTCGGTCAGGCCGGCCCGATAAAAATCAGGCCCGAAAAGATGACTCGAACGTCGGCCCGACTCGAAAACCCCAACCCTATTTCTAAGCAAAGAATATACAAGTAAATTATTGTTGAAATCAAATTTAATATTTTTTAAGGAAATCGAAAATTTTGAGAATATTTCAAAAAAAGAATTAGGTCCTGAATACTCTTCAGAAGACCAGATAATTATTAATATAGATAATGAGCGAGATAACATAGAGAATCTTCATATAAATGAAGTAAAAAAGTTGTTAATTGAAGAAAATAAACCTTTGAAAAAATCAACATCGAATGGGTTTGCAAATGAATTTTACAAATTAAATGATGAAAACATGAAAAATGTAAAGGCGAGAATGCGAAAATTATTGGGAAATGAAAATATGTTTATTAAGTTGGAAATAGAGTTTCCTGTTCAGATGAGAATTGGTGAGACAAAATATATTTTGATTATAAAGGTTGGCAGATCCGGATATCCGATATTTTCTGTTCGGCTATTGGATCCGGATATCCGAAGATTTCCAACTATCCGCCAAACTTACACTTCATTATTAATTAAGTTTAAGACCAAATTAATCTAATAAAGGTAAATTGAAACCATCGACTTCGGAAAAATCTCAGGGAATATTTCAGATAAATTTGGAGATTCTCAGATATTTGGAAAAAATCTCTGGGCCAATTCCATCCTGCTTCTTAAATTTGTTCCGTAGCTATCCAAAAAAGTGTCAGAACACATTTACTGATTTCCAACTTTAACTAATTCAGATTTACTCGATTGGGAATTTAAAACTTATCTCTACAGCCGAATTATCCTTAATGATTTAAATGAATATAGAATTGAAAATATAAAAGCTGGACTAAAAATATCAAAATTATTTGGATATGGTTTAATAAATATTGGAGGATTAAAGGATGAAAATGAAGCTGGAAAAGAAACTGATGATATAAGTAAAATAAAATCTGAAGGGGCAACAAGTAATGTCAAGGAAACGGAAATAGGTGAAGAAAAGCAACAGGAGAAGGTATAGCGTATTAATAAAGACCGGATTCTTATGTTAAAAGTTGGGCGAGGTCAAGATTTTTGAAAACCCGAGTACGAGGATTACCGTGGCTGCAAAGATCAAAATTTTGGGGAAAATTAGAGTCGAGGTTTGAGTATAATTTTATCAAGGATTCAAATCTAATAGATTTCAAATATAATAGATGGCCCAAGCATCAGTTTATATATCTCGTACGGAGAAGGTTTTGGGACCCAAAATTTCAAACAATTTAATTTTTGGTTAGCACCTTTTCATCCGTCGCAAGCGAAACTTTTGAGAATTTTGGGAGGCTAAATAGTCAGTAATCAATCCTCGTTTTATAAAAAGGGGAAAACCCCAAACTGGTATAACAAAATCGCCTGCTTTGATCAGGAAGGAATTTTCTGGATTTATTTTGTATATTATACTACCAATTTTTCAGGCTTCAAAAAAGAAAAAGAAGAAAAAAGAAAAAGATCAAGAAAATAATTGTTTGTCAGAATATTTTAAGCAAGTTTTTGAGTATTTTGAAATTAATTCAAAAAAATGTCAAGAAGAAAAGATTGAAAGTTTTATAAAATTCCTAGGCTTGAGATACTGTGACAAAGAAGGAAAAATAAAACTTAAAGAAGGGGGAAGAGAGAATACTGAAAAGTATTCTGAATCCGTAAATAAAGAATTGGAAAATGGAATAATATTGGATTTGTTAGAAATTTTAAAAAATAATGAGGAATTCCGTAAAAATTATTTGATTGTGAGAGGTGCAAAGGGAAGAATGGTCAAATTTCTTCAATTGGAAGAAAATTTAGAAGGAATTTTTGAGGATCCCAACAATAATTTAAATACTTATTCTTTGCTTAAAAATGGTAATATAATTTAGTAAATACATATATTTGTTCTGTGGTGAGCGAAGCTCCTAGCATAACTGCCGAGAGGTCGCGGAGGTTTCATCTCGGGGGTCTCTCTGCTCGGAATTAAATTTATCTCTCTCTTACATATACCGTATTTCCTCCATGGGGCTCTATTTTTCAACTATCCTCCAAAGTGGATTTTATTTTTTGATTTAAAAATTGATAGGCCGGTAATTCTATATTTGATAATAAATACATGATATAAAATAATTAAAATATATTTAAATTTTTAACAGAAAGAAACGAAGAAGAAATTCTTGTCCTTTTATCTCAATACTATTTGGAATATTTAAATGACTCAATTGATAGAAAAATTAGAACAAGGATATCTCTAGATATTTTAGTGTCAATTTATTCAATTAATGAACAAATGTTGACTGATTACCCAGAGCATACAATAAATAGTTGGGAATATTATGTTAATTTAATGATGATTTTTGTTGATCTACTTTTTATTGGAACTCCAAATGATCTGAAATCAAAGACTATTGAATATAGAAATATTCTTTACATGGCTAAAAGGTGTTCGGAGGAAGAGAAAGAGGGAGGCAAGAAAATTTTTATATTTTACAAAGTTTGTAAAAAGAAAATTAGGATCTAGCTGGTAGGTGAATCCTCTCAATACGAGGTTGCTGGTTCCGTTTCTTCTCTGTCTTCATACCGACCTAATCATAGGAGCAGAATACCCAAATTCAAAAAATTCAAACGGACATAAAATCTTTAAATTTTTAGTGGGAAATGAAACATTAAATTTATTACCTATGGAGGATAGAATTCACGAGGAAATAAGGGAGAAAATGG